GATCGGCTTTTGGATTCTTCCTTGTTCTCTGATGAAGAAGGTTTGGTCTTTTTACTTGGAGGCATTTTTTTCTGTTGATTATTTCTAGTTTTTAGGAGATTTTTTAATACTTTACAACGTTAATCTCATCGACCAGTCTTTTCATATTTTATGCCTTGATGGTACAGTGTATTATGTATTATTTGAATAATTGTTGAACTCATTGGAGCTCCAGACTATAAAACAAGATTGTTGAAAAAAAATGAGCTCCTCCACTACCACCACCACAAAAAAGCCAGTCATTCAAATTAAACTCTTGAAAAATAATCGGACGGGTGTTTTTTGCGAAAAAATAAAATTTTTTGCGAAATGAAAATGAGCATTTGCGAAAGGTTCAATAATTTGCGAAAAAATTTTAATTAAGCGAATAAATTCTTGTTTGGCGAAAAATCTAGATAATTATTTTTCATCTTCCGAAGCAACACCATGATCCTAACATCTTTACAACATTATCCTCAATAGATAGACATGAAAAAGAAAAAAAAAGATTCCCTTGGTATATATAGCAGAATGTTTACCATAAAATATTAAACCAACGACTGTAAAGTGTTACTAGCACAGTTGGGAAAAGATGAAAAATGCACCTCTCTCTGTTTCGAGACTCGCTAACATTTTGACTGTTTTTGGCTTTTACTGAATGTGTATCATTATACAATGAAAACATTCATGGTATGATAAAGTTCTTGACAGGTTTTTATTGGTTATTTAATAGGTCCAGCAGGTTTTGGTGGTATTTTTCTTCTATTTACTCTTTGTCTAACAGGTACTATGTCAACTTCCATTTCCGAACCTACAATTTCTAAAGAATGATTGTTAATCTCTGTTTGTGTTTCCGATCCAACAATTTCTAAAGGCTTTTCTTGGCCAACACCAAAGAAATTTGATGAATCAACAATTTCATCTATTTGTGTGTCATCTACATCTTGAGAATTATTTTCTAATTGTTTTTGGCTTTCGTTCGTAATTGTAGTGTTTTGCTCTGTTAATTTCCAACAATCCAATCCAATAAAATTATTCAAGAATTGTCGGTATTTCACTGAATAATATATCCATTTTTCAATTCCTAATCTGAGTTTCACCTTTGTCTTGTCTTTAGATAATTTCACTCCTGTTACAGTTTCATTCTCAGCGGTTTTTATCTTCTTTACATAGGAAGCATCACATCTATTCAAACTTTCTTCAATAAAAGCCCAGAAGATCCGTATTTGAGTTTCTTGGTGCTTGGTTTTGAATATCTCTAAATCTATTACATTTTTTCTGTTTGGTATTTTAATATGTAAGAGAATTTCTTCTCCGTTCTTCACAATACCTACAAGCTCATTTTTGGAAAGAATCAGTTCATCCACAGAACATTGCAAGTTCTCATCTAAAGGAACGACTTCAATATTGTCATCTACATGTACATGATCATACTTTGTTGTTGGATTAGTAATTGGAATTGGTGGTTTGTGTTTTCTACCGCACTTTTTCCTTCTCGGGAATTT